TCCGTTGCGTAAGTAGAAAAATAACCTCGGTTGTTGACCTTCCTAGCATAAAACCGAATTGGTTTTCTGAAACACTCATTTTATACCTTAGTCATTGCTCAATCACTCTCAACTAGAGCTTCGTAGTGTGGTGTAGAAGTTTGATCTTTGGTTTTTTTCTTTTTCAACACCCACTAAATCGAATATCGAGGTACACTATGATAAAAAATTTCTAAATCAATAAATACCATGTGGAGGTCTCTTCCCTTCACTCTAAACTTCTCATTCAGTTGCCTAAGTAGGAAAATAGCCTTGATTATTGACCTCCTTAGCATAAAACTGAATTGATTTTTTGGTACGCTTGTTTTATGCCTTAGTCATTGTTTAATCACTCTCTTAGAGCTTCATAGTGTGACTCATAAATTTGATCCCTCGATAGTTTGCACAATTCTATATTATTTTGTTTTTGTAAATAGATACCACAATACTTTTACTCTATTCGTCTGGCATTATTTTTTTCTCAACACCTTGTTGAATAATTTGGTCAACCAATCAATGTCAATCTTCCCGATGCAATTTCAAACCTCTATTAGGACACCATCTGATCCTAAAGCTTTCCCTATCTTCATCATTTTCAAAACTTCATTCACTTCCAATATCCTAATTCTATAAATGTATATGTGACTTTCGTCGTCATTTATGTCAATGGTTCCTTCTACTGATACGTTCTCATTGTGCTCGTTATTTAATAATTTTTAAAATAAAGTTTCCACCTCTCGTTGACCTCTTCATCTTTCATCAAGACCCTTTGATCATCACTTTTAATATATTTAATATAATCTAGATTTCTACATATTTTCTCTCTCATATTTGCTAATTTGAAGACATTTTTTCACTTTTTCTTGTTCCCTGTTTAATGTATATATTATTATATTCCTTAGGTTTAGCTTTACTTACTATTCATTTTAATATTTTTCTTAGTATTTTTACATTCTTATAAGTTTTGATCATTTCTATTACACTATCAAGTTTTATAAGATGATCATTTTTTGGTAATGGCCTTCTGAGCATCATCACTCCACCAAAAATTTTCCTTATAAGAATTTTTTTTCCCTCTAGATTATCTTAAAAAAAAATTTGTAACTTTCTTAGTACAAGCAGCCAATCTCATTGCACATAACATTGACCTCATGGTCCAAGTTTCATCTTCCTTCTTTAACAAATATATTCCTAAATAAGTATATTTTCTCATTTTTTTAAATTCTACCACTTAGTTCTTAGACACCTATTAATTTAACATATTCTCTTCCATGCCTTTATGCAGATGTCCATAATAACAAGCCGATGTTGGGTAGTTAAAATCTCTCCAAAGATAACCTTGCAGTCTTTATATGATAGTCGATCTAACTTCTTAATTAAGAAGAAGTCTATTTGGCTTTTATGTGATCCACTTTTATAGGTTATTAAATGTTTAGCTCATTTTCTAAAGTAAGTGTTTACTGTTGCTAGGTCGTAGGCCATATCAAAATCTAGACTAGCCTCACCCATCTCATTTTTTTCACCAAACCCATATCTCTCATGCACCCTTTCATATTCCCTACTATAATTCCCTACATGATTATTTAAGTCCCCTCGTAAAAAGGTTGTCTCTCTATTTGGTGTATCTTAGACTATTCCATTCATGTCCTGTCTCTTAATTCAATCCTCTAATCCTACTTGTGGTGCATAAGCACTAATTACTTATCTCTTCCCCTAATTCAAGTCTAATTAATAGGAGCTCATCACTTATTCTATTGATATTAATTACTCTATCTTTTAAGTCTTTGTCTATTACTATGCTTACTCCATTTCTATTATTATTCTTTCATGTATACTAAAGTTCATACCTTTCTATTTCTTTAGCTTCTCTCCTTTCCATTTAGTTTCTTGTAGACAGGCTATGAATATTCTCATTCGTTTCAGCGTATCCACTAACTTCATACTCTTACCTGTAAGTGTTCCTACATTCCATGTGGTTATATGAATCCTATTATCTTGGACAAGCTTCTTTACTGGCACTTGTCAAGAATTTCACGAGAACCCTTGCCTATGTTTTACATCAACTGGGGCTGGCACTAAGGTGCATCGCTTCTAGGAAACACCGTAGCTAACCATTGCTCATTCATCATTGTACCCAGGTTCTGATACAGTGCGTCTCTTATAAGAAACGCACTAGCATAAACATATATTGTAGGTTCAGGATTCATGATAAGTTTTGGCAAAGTTTTACATTAGCTACCTACCTAAAATAACCTAGCTCCTTTACCCAGGCATAGGTTGGGTTAAGAAAAAGTTTAAAGTTCTCACCCTATTTAGATCACCAGTTTGAATATATATATTAAAAAAAATCATAAAAACAAGAATGCAACAAAAAGAAAAATGAGAACACAAAAAATAAAGCAATGCAATAGACCAACGTTACCAAGGGACTGGGTCCTTGGCTGAGGCGAGTTAGTTGACCGTCTAAGAGACTTGGCCAATTCCTATATACGGCGAAGTAGCCCTAGAAAATCTCAAAACAATAAAAAATGGAAAAACAAAATAAAGGTAGTAAAAGTAAAATAAAACAAAAAGAAACCTTAAATGTTTAAAAAAGTACGGAAAAAATGGATTTTAAAATTTTGGTATATAGTTGGTAATTTTCAAAGATATAAAAAATAAAAGACAATATAAACCATGGATTATGGCAAAAAAAAAACTCAACAATGTAGGCCAAAAGCATCCAAATTGTATATAAAAAATTAATACAATGTATCGATATTTTTGTTTAAATTTTGGAGTTTTTTAATTTTTTATGTTCGAGATAACTCAGCCTCGGCTTATCACCTAATTCTTGTGAGAATGCAGTAGACAAATTCTCATCTTTGACGTAATGGAGTCAATAAATATTCAGAAATTAAATAGACAACCTCTCAGTTACTTATCTTGGTTTATCTTAAGTAGTATTTATTATGTAGTATTGTTTAAGTACACAATAAACAATTTACTTTTGGTACAAAAAGATCACAATTACTTATAACCATTTAATGTAAAATCGGATGGTTTAAGTAAGTCACAAAATTCAAGAAAATTTCTTGTGAATTTTGAGCTTAATCAATAAAATAAATGTAGTCACCCAATTTCATAACCAATAATTATGATTAATTGTGACCACCTTATAGTAAAGGTAAACGGTCTCATTGTATACTTTTTCTGTTTAAACGATTTCAAGAGTTCAAGTTTCACTCTATCACTATTCGATTGTTGGAGATTTTAATGGTAATCCAAGAATTCTTTACCAAAATTTTTACCATGTTCATTTATTTTTAAAAGGAAAATTGTTTCATAAGTCAGTGTGCACAAAAGCTCGCTGACGTTAACTAAAGAGTATCATCTATAAATAATATATGGACAGTGCATAAAAAGTACTAAAAAAATTATATTTTTACTTTTAAAAAAATTATTTTTCTTTACATATTTATAATAATCTTGGCCTAGAATCTACAAAAAGAACTTAGAAAAAAAAAGTCATTTAAAATAAATTTTAGTGGGGGGGCCGCATATGTACATATCAGTCCGCCAACTCATACAAACCCCATTTGTTTAAAATGGTAGGTAAACAGAAACTACTTATCTTTTGACAGTCAAATTTACAACTTTTTAATAATATTGCGGCCATTGAAAATCTGAAGTCTTTAGGTGGAACTCATGAAATAAGAGAGGGAGAGAATCTTGGGCTCTAAAGTACGACAAATACACACACGTCACATTATTTCTCTTAATTATTCCCTAAGGCCGAGGGGCAATCGCCATTAATATTTTTTCAATGCATTTCCAAGTTACTCCTACAAATGCATCCGATCCACCTGTTGATGGTTGATAGGGTGCACCATATCCACAAGGTAAAGTAAAATTTTGTGCTCTTTCTAGAGTATTTTATTTTATTTTTTCTTTCAGTAAAGTCCTTCTAACCAGAATTTTACTGAAGGGAGTATGTAGTATAGGATATGCCCGCAAAGCATGTTAATATGCTATACTCACTAAAACAAGGAAAATTGTTTCATATGGGCTGGACCGCATTTTTACAATATGCGGTCAAAAGGTATAAAGCATCCATTTGATGCAAATAGGTGGTCCATATAAAAATAAAAACAAGTGTAACTAATAATCTAAATGTTTTTTTTAATATAATTATTATTTTTAGTTTTCAATTTTTTTTGTTTTTTGTTTTTATATTCATGATCTTCATGTTAAAGATTATATATTCTCTAAAAATTAGGATAAAAATAAATATGTGGGCTGGCCGCATAGAACTAGGCCCCTAAAACAATAAGTGAAAAATAATATGACATGTTAATGGTGGGAACGGAGGATGTGACACTATGTTAACGAACCCCCCCATAACCATCCATGCCCAAGCCCTACTCCTTTAGTAAAATTTACATGCAGGTCAGCAAAAGGTTTCATAAAAATATGTCACGTATTGATTCTTCACACATGAATATGAAAGCCAGAAGCTAGAAATAGCCAGCAGAACCCAAATAATTAGGAAAAAAATCTAATGATGATAGCAGAACCCAAATAGTTAGAAAAAGAAGCTAGAAATAATTTTTAGAAAGATGCTAACAAATATGCCATCAAACAAAAAAATTAGCAATGTGAATGGTCTTTGATATTTCCACGCACATTAGCAAAGATTTCATGGAAAAAAGCAAAAAAACCAAAACAATTTAGGGGATTTCAGAAATTATCAGGGGCACGTAACACTTTGACCCAAACAATGTGCATGGTCTTTGATATTTCCATAATAATAATAATAATATTATTATTATTAATAATATTAATAATAATAATAATAATATTAATAATAATAATAATAATAATAATAATAATAATAATAATAATAATGTGTGGTTGGTCTTTGGCAGCTATATAAATAGAAGGAGAGGCAAGATGGCTTCAGCACTGAGTCTGTTCTTTCCTTATTGTTCACAAGGAAGACGATGGAGTTGTCTCCAGAGTCATGGAGGGTTTTAGGGGCCGCGGCCGCGCTAGGCCTTCTACTATGGCTCCTCACTCATAGAGCCCTCAAAGCTAAGAGTGGAAGCCTTAGAAGCCCCCCAGGTAACACTCTCTCTCTCTCTTTATGTTCTACGGGTGGCATGGGTTACCATCTCTCCCTCTCTTTTGACAAGAATATTTTGTATTATTACATCAAATGGGCTTTTACAAAAAGCGAGGCGAACTTTAAATAAAAATTGAAAAAAAATAAAAAATCTAAGGCAGCTCGTTTTTTTACTAAATCATGCATTAACCTCTAGATAGACATGACAAAAACACGTAATGTCATCCGATAATAACTCCAAAACTTGTGTGGGATATAAGGTGTCATGGAGGTCTAAAAAACCTGTTACACCAAATGACATTGGTAGGGTCACCTTCTATAAATAAAATATTCCCAAATCTTTTATCCTTCTAAATAATTAAGAGAAAATATTTCAATATCCTCTAGTTTTAAGTTTCATTTCTTGATAAACTCAAAGTTTCAAAAGATATCTTCTAACCCTTACTGCTTTAAACTTATTTTTTAACCTAAATAAATGTGAAAAAGACATGCTATTTCTAAACTCAATCATTTCTCTCTTCTTCACGTATATACCTCAAATTTCTCTCTTTTTCTCTCTTCTTGCGTCTTTCTCAATCTCTCTCCTCTCGTAATTTTCCAAACACCTCTCTCTTCTCCAGGTAATCTCTTACCTCCATGAGGCCCTTCTCTTTATCTAGAAGTTTGAGATGATGGCTTTTAGAAAAGGTATATCTTTTTAGATTTGTTTGACTTAAAAAAACAGGTTTAAATTAACTCAAAAGGTTAGAAGAAATAAAATCTATAATTTTTATGCCTCAAAATATCTTTTAAAACTTTAAGTCTATTGTGAAATGAAACTTAAAAATAAATCTATTGTGAAATGAAACCTAAAAATAATAGATATGGAGATATTTTTCCAATAATTAATATTTGAAAAAGTGCTGCCAATTCAGCATGCTTTTGGCTTGTGGGGGGTGCTTTTCAATTGTCTCTCCCAACAGACATGGTAATACAGTATAGGGAAACTATATTAAGTGCATTACACTGGTATACGCCCTTGTATCACAGAAGAGAAACTTCAGATGGGTGGTCTGATTGCGCATGAATACAGGCTGTTGATCTGAATTAACTCTCTCTCTCTTTTGCTCTCCACAGCGGTGCCAGGGTGGCCAGTTATCGGGAATTTGCATCAAATGAAGGGCACGGTGCCTCACATACTCTTCACCAAATGGGCTCGAAAATACGGTCCCTTGTACACCATCAAGACTGGGACGACCACCCTTGTTGTTGTCACCTCTTCTAAGCTCGCCGCAGAGGTCCCTCTCTCTCCCTCTCCCTCTCTAAATTATGTAAAATCTGATGCATTCTTGATATCATTTGATGAGCATGAAAAGAATACGATCTTAGATGTTTCATTGGGGTCACAGGTGATGGTGACGAGGTTTCCGTCATTCTCGACGAGGAAACTCTCATGGATTTTCATGTTTGTGACAGCAGACAAGTGGATGGTGGCCATGGCTGACTACGGGGAGCGCCATAAGCTTCTGAAAAGATATTATCTCTCTTCAGTCCTCAACCCAAACTCTCAGGTTTAACTCTCCAGACCTAAAGTGTTATTTTATTTTATGTTTTTAATATTTTAGCTAGGGAGTCAATTAGAATGTAACTCATTACGTCATGTTGCGGTACTTGTCACACTTGCACTTATGATTTCAATCTATCCCCTTTATTGCGCTCTGGCACCGAACTCAGGTCCTAAACTGTTCGAGTCCCTCCGGCGAGACCGAGTCAACAAAGACTGATTTGCTTATAAGACAGGGAGTCCCTAGTAGCTCCAATAATTCTGCTGTTTCCATCCAAAATGTGTTAAAAGCTACTTATTTGGCCATCTTAGGTAGAATCCAGGTATTATAGTACTTGTTAGCATCCAAACAGTATTATAGCAGAGTGACTGTTTTATACGGGCATAAGGCAGTCTAGGGGTGGTTATTGAAGTCAAAACTATCCATTCTTTTCATTGTTTTTTAATGTAGATGACCTTTTTCTCAAAGCAAATCCCATCTTTTCATAATATATACAATTAGAGGCTTGAATTGGAAACAGTGGAAGAGGTAGGAATAGAGAAAATATCTGGACTTTATGAGATTTTATGTGATATTTTAATGAAAATATATATTGGTAAAGAAAATCCTTTCAAATTGAGAGTCTTTGTGAGATTTTATGTGATATTTTTATGAGAATGTATATTGGTAAAGAAAATCCTCTCAAAGTGAGGGATTTTAGAGGAACTTTTGGTGCACGAGATTAAACATTAATATTAGATAATGGGGTGCGGTTTGTATAGAGCCAAGGCTCAAAACAATCAAAGTAAAGCGCCTCTTCAAATAGTATCGAAAGATATAGTTTTAATACTGAAAATCTTTGTGATAGCCTTAAAATATATTTTTATATTTAATTATGAAATTTAAAGCTTAAAAAATAGTGTTGATCGAGCAGAAAACTTGAAAATCTTGAAAATTGACCGTCCAAAAAAGCATCACAAGATTCCCTAATCCCAAAACTTGAAATCCATGTTTTCATCATGTCCATGCATCTTGATGTTGAAATGATAAATTTGAGGATATTTGGGTATCAAAACAACCTCTTCTAGTGAAAGTTTTGAGGTGGGCTCTAATTTGATTGTTTAGATCCTCGGCTCTATATAAACTTTTTCCTTTATGTAATGTTGTTATTTGGGTTTTACGGTAACATCAGTGAGGCTTTTGCTTAAGGCATGCTTTCAGGTCACTAATACCTAAAGATATAACGTTCAAAAAAAAAAAATTAATATATAACGCATAAAAGAAATTAAGAAAGCAGACATTATCTTTGAATAATTTAACAAGAATAATCAATATTTCCTATATTTAGTAATAAAACTTATTAAAATGAAAGGTTAAAAATAATAATTGTTGATCATAATTATGAAAATATCAATTCAACGATGGATGACTGCTAATTATTTAATAATGAAAATATATAATAGACATTTATAATTTGTAATAATTATTATATAAATCATATCTACTAATATAACATGATATCATGATTATACTAATATCATCAAGTATTATAATATTGTTAAAATAACACTTAACCGAATAATAACTATAACAATAGTGCAAAGTTTTAAGTATTCCTATTAAAAATCAATAACTATAATATTTTTATTAAATAATTATGCATTATACTTATTAAAAGTTTGTACTTCTACTATACTCATAATAAATTTGTCAGACTCTTCAACGAGGAAATTTTCAAATTTTCTGTTATTCTTATATCTGTCATGCATACCCACATTGTATATCTACGTGCAAGATATGTATAATTCAATAGTCTAATATTATTTTCATTCAAACAACACTGTCAATACAAAGAGAGAGTGATAAAAATACATTAAAGGACAGTTAATTAAAAAAATAATAATTTGGTTAAGAAGCTAGAGTAGGTGCCATGCATAAGGGAGACGGTGATGTTAAGGACAGCAAAATTCTTCTGATTAATTGTTCCAACAGGATGAAATGAAATTAACGTTCCATTAGTGAAGAAACTCCAAATTTGTACTTTTTTTAAAAAAAAAAAACTTATCGATTTGCCCTAAGAGTTGAACTATTTAACATAATGTTTGAATCTAATTTCAATTATCCATTACTATTTGGTCAAATTTCAAGTAGCCCATATCAGGGAACATCAGTAAGGGTCGTAAATAGCTGGAAATTATTAATGTTAAATAGTTGATCTCTTAGAATTTCCCTCTATTTTTCTCCTAACTTCACGTACTGTTGCATCACAGAAGCGTTTCCGTTGCCACAGAGATAGCATGATCGAGAGCATGTTACATGAGCTGCATGAGCAGGCAGCTGGTGCAGTGGTAAGCATAAGGAGCATGCTGAAGAGAGAAGCATTGGGGCTAGCTATGAAGCAGGCAGTGGGGAAGAACTATGACACATTGTATATTAAGGAGATGGGTGGCAATCTTCCAAAAACTGAAATTTATGACGTGCTCGTTGCCGACCTCCTGCTGGTTGCCGGCTTGGCTGACTGGAGGGACTTCTTCCCCTATCTTTCCTGGCTCCCCAACAAATCCGTTGAGAAGAAGGTCAATGATGTATATACTCGCAGGAATCTTGTTACAAGTGCCCTCATCAACCTCTACAAAAAGCGGCAACCTGACCACGACGAGGTACTCGATTAAGTTTATAATTCTAATTAAAATGTATTTTAGTTTTTGATAGTTTCATTGCTCAAGCCATGACAACATCCCCTAAGATATAAGGTAACCTTGCATTTTACATATGGAATGGATCCATACACACATCCTGTTGCAGTGGATCCCAAGGTGGTCTTATTTTCTTTACCACAGCACCTTAGCGAAGGAACCACACTGTCCATCACGTTGGAACCGTATTCATCTTGGAAAACAGTGTTGCAATCGTCAACCACCGACAACTCAATCACGTTGGAACCGTATTCATCTTGGAAAACAGTGTTGCAATCGTCAACCACCGACAACTCAAGCCCATGCCGAAATCGTCAACCACTAACAACTCAAGCCCATGTATAAATCCTCAAAAAGGCTAGGACATTTTGTTTCGATTTTTTGACATAGACTTCGACGGTTCAAGGCCTTGACCTCGATGACCGAAACTGAGATGTCTATGCCAATGCCTAAGGGATGCTTGTTTGTTTTATTAACTAACAAAAATTAGATGCAAAGAAAGAGAAATTAAGCATGTTTTCTCATAAAATGGTGTCCCTTATAGGAACATCTCTGTTATTTGAGGTTTTTGCTGGAGGAGGCTCAGGAACTTAGTGAGATGCAATTGCTGGTTTTAATATGGGAGGCTTTACTTGAGTCCTCTGATACCACTCCTGTTGTGGTCGAATGGGCCATGTACGAGCTTGCCAAGAACCAAGGATGCCAGGTAGTAGATTCTTTCTCTTTCACCTACGATTAAAAATTTTGCATCCAACAGTTAAGATAAGAGGGACCGAGTGTGTGACATTGTTGGGTGGTGATTTTGGTGCAGGAGCGTCTATACGAAGAGATAAAGAGTGTATGTGGGGATGAGAAGGTGACTGAAGAAAATCTACCACACATGCCTTACCTCAATGCTGTGTTTCATGAGACACTCAGAAAACATTCTCCAGTCCCCATTATGCCCCTCAAATATGCTCATAAGGACACTGAGATTGGGGGCTATCACATCCACAAAGGGTCTCAGGTTGGTAGGAAGTTCATATTTGCGCCTTTCCAGATAGGGGTCCGTCTATTATATGAGCAGGCGTTAATGTGCACTATATCTTAAACTCACCATCAAGCACTCTAAGTGCCCTGCCAAAGGAAAAGGAAAGCTAAAGCGATTGTTAGCTTCACTAAACAACATAGATACTTCAATTTATGGCATTTTACAACATTCTCATGTTTTACACATGATGATTGATCCCCCAATGTTTAAAATGTTAAATCCTTCTCAGTCTCATGCCTATTCTGCCTTCGTGACGTAATTTCAAGATATCCAGAGTTAAACTGGCATCCTTTGTTTCTTTCAGATTCGATGGTTGATATCCCCACTTTCAATAATACTTCATATACAGTGAAATCATGAAAACCCTCATTGTTTGTATTTATTTGGCATGGGAACTACTACAGATTGCCATCAACATTTATGGAGCTCATAGAGATGAGAAGGAGTGGGAGGAACCAGAGGTGTGGAAGCCAGAGAGGTTCCTGACTGGCAAGCATCAGTTGCAAGACATGCACAAGACATTAGCTTTTGGTCTTGGCAGGAGGGCTTGCTCTGGTTCAATGCAAGCCATGAACATTTCATGCACTGCGGTGGCTAGGATGGCACAAGAGTTCAAATGGACACTCAAAGAAGGCCAAGGCGATGATGATGACACTGTCCTCTTCACCACTCATAAGCTCCAACCCCTTGAAGCATACATTACGCCAAGATCTACTCTTTAAAATTCAAAAAACCTATTGTTTAGGTACCTTGTATGAAGCCAGGGCAAATTTTACAACTACTAATTGTCATCAAGAGCTTCCACAGATCCTGGAATAAGAAATCCATGGGCCTTTTATTTATTTCTTGTTTAAAGTGCAAATAAGTAGATATTAGTTGGTCATGATAAGAGTGTAAAATTACATAAGCATCTTATAATTTTCTAGGTTATTAGCAAATGTATTGAATATGTCAGAGTATGTATTTGCTATAAATAAGAAATAGCTTCTAATGCTCATTAATGTTTTCTAAGTTTGGATAATCTTTGTTTTTTTACCCATGGAATCAACACTCTAAGAAAGATTGTCAACCACGAAATAAATCATTTCGACAGAAAAAGTAGGAAATGAAAGCTTAATATTGAGATCATTAGTCATTAAAGTTATAGTTGCAGAACAATCTATGAATATTCAAGTTTATATGCAAGGGATGAAGTAAAATAAATTTTCCTTGAGTTAATCCTGCTGCCAATGATGAAAAAATTTCCAGTCCTTTGTTCTAGCTGTAGCATTAAAATTGCCAATTGTCTTCTGTTTAAATTCTAGCTGTAGCATTAACAAGTTGTATGAGTTGACGTTCATGGCATTTACTCAGATGAGACCTTTTATATTTGTGAGCTCCATCTGTAGATTAGTGCCCCAAGCAATATTCTGAGTTGTTGTTTCCTTCATAATCTCCTTTAAATAGATTTCCAGTCGCATTCTTTGAGGTTTAGTTTCAATATTGATTTCCTATCATGGTTCAAGTTCCTTGACAATGTTCTCCTCATGATTTCCTCTGATAAAATTTTCTTTATCACTCTAGAGAACAATTTTATCCTCTTTGTGATGCTCTATATTTCTTTCTCATGGTGCCTTTGGATCCATAGATCATGTTATACTAGCTTGCAAAATCAGTATATGGATTAAGCATGAGTTTCCAATCATCTTTATAATAGATCTATATGATTTTCTTAATCGAAAGGCTTCTTAATCATACTTCAATTATAATTCAAAAGATTTGTGGTCCTATTAGCCCCTCTTATTCGCATGGAAAATCTTCCTAAACTATTTGTGTATTTTCTCTTCCTTTCACAAAGGAAAAAAGTATATAACAAATCCCTTTGAGGGATTTTTAATTGCTCTGGGGACAAATCCTTTCAGTGCATCAGTTGATTATCTATTAATTACATTTAAAAAGTGAGAAACTTTAAATTTTCCAGAGTCTTGAGAGGAGAATAGGAATGGGGTCATAAAGAACAGCGGACAAGACATTGTACGTCTTCCCTGTTTCCTACACTCTCAATATGTATGGTTTCTCTATTTAAGGATTGTATATGATTACTTTAGATGCCTTGTTCTTTTTCGATCGACCTGATCCTATCTCATTGTCTAATTCCCTGCTTATTCCCAACTCTTTTCTTTCATAGAATTCTTTATGGAATTGGCAGCTGAGATAAATGCTTGGGCATGGGATAAGCATCCTCTCATCTTTTATTTAAGGTTGTGGTTCCTAAAAAGTTGCAACCTAAAACAACCTAATTAAGGCGCACCACCAAATTTTATCATAATATGTAATTTTGGTGTAAAAAATTCTTAGGATTATCTGAAAATCTATTTTCATATCTAATTATAAAATTTTAAACTCCAAAAATGGTTAAAATCAAGTAGATCTATAAACATATGAAAATCTTGAAAATAGACTGTTCAGATAATGTGTTGTAAGATGCACTATTTCTGAAAATTAATTATATATATATATATATGCACTATTTCTGAAAATTAATTTTATATATATATATATATATATACATATTGATGTCGAGATGATCAATTAGAAGGTTTTTCAACATTAAAATAACCTTTTCCGATGGATTTTTTAGGTGCATCTTTAGTTCTACATTTCAAGGTTGCAAACCTTATATAAACTTTTTACATTATTGAATGTTATGTTCTTAATAAAGGGGAGTGGAAGAGTTTCACTGAAGTCAGCTGCATTCGGATTTTGAGTTAGTTAGCTCAATACATGTGGCAACTGTAAGGTGTAGCGTCTGGTCTCAAGATACACAACGCTTCAAAATTTTACACAATACATATCAGTGCACCCTTTACATGCACTTCACTAATGAAAGTTCACTAATGAAAGTACAGAGGAAATGGACTGACAAACACAATTAATTTCTGGTAGAAGACTCAAAACAAAATAAAAGTACCTCATCATTTCCCCCAACTCATTTTCCATTCATTGGGAGATCTAGATAGTGCTTGAATACAAGGGAATCTAAAATTAAACAAAATTCAATAACACACACTTGTAGAACAGTTACATCAAACCCTTTCAAGACACATAAGAACTCAACCAAAAGCCTTTTTTTTTGTTTTTTGGGTGAGTCAAGAGAGAGGGGCCCTACACCCTTGTGGTAGGAATTGAGCATAAGACGTAGCGTTGCAAATCGACAAGGGCTGACCAATTAAGCCCGGGCTCTTTTCCTAACCAAAAGCTATCTCTTCTCATTATAACTCAACAAATAACTCAAATCAATGGGCATTGACCATGGGGAAAGCTCAAACCAGATACTTCTCGAAAAGCTAGGTTTACAAGAGCCACAAGCTTTCCTCCAAGTTAAAGGAATTGTAGCAACAATGGGATATGTGTCCTAAATTTATTGTGTGGCATGGGAGTCTTTGGAGGCAAATGCAAGCGATATGCTAGAGCATGGGAGAGAACATAGGTGCAAAATGATAATTTATAGAAATGGCCTTATATAGATAATAGGAGGCATTAAGCCTTGCTGTGAACACCTACAGCGAAGCTGTTACAGCAGGCATATGAGTGGCAATGGGGCTAGGAGTTAGGCTAGGGTGTGGAGAGGAAGCATGGTGTATATGGGTTGTGTGGCCTAGGACATGAATAAGGCATATGGACAACACAAGGTCGCACTTCATGGACTATTTTTCACTCTCGCTCTTGGGCTGGGCATGCCACTAACTAAGGCCCCTCTCATTCTAAATCTTAGCACCATAACATTGCATGAGCGACTTGTAAAATGAAGAGGGTGAGCAGCCTTTTTATAAAGAGGAATTAGCGTTTAGGAGAGTGTAAAAGGTTCTCTTAGGAGATGCATTGTGAAATCTCCTGTTAGGAAATCTATAAGGTGACAGATGCTTCAAAACCATTTATCCTTATCTAACTACCATAGATTACGGGATGATATGTGATCACCAATAAAGCTCTTAATTTCTCTTTAATATATCAAATCTTGGTTAATTAAATTTTATCTTCGTTAAATTGTTGACGAAGGCTACCCAAATAAAAATAATCCAAGTTAGGAGAGAGAGACAATTGAATAGGCTAATTGTCAGGCATACATGTATATATGTGAATTCTTCTCTTTTCCTCACTATCTCACATGCTATAAACAAAAGGAGTGGCTTGTGTCTATATCCAGGAATATCAATAAATCAGCTCACCATAAAATCGGAAAGAAATCGTTCTTATTTTAAAATGTCGGGTGAAAAAATAGGGTAAAACATATGGATCGGTAAAAATACTTCATGTAAAGATATCGCCAATACATCAGACTAAGCTAATAAAATCGGACTAAAAAAATCGGATAATTTTAAAATATTAGAAATTTCGAATTTCTAAAAAATAAAAATTATGTCAAAGCCATCAATAATTAATCCATCCATAGAAATATACCATACAAATTTACTCATTAAATACTTTAACAAGTATCATACCTACTCAGTAGGTACCAAAAAGAAAATATACAATTTTTTTTTCTCATTAAAATGCTTTAACTATGGTATGGTGACTATGGTCACTCTATAACTATGGCTAAAGTTTATATGAAAATTTTTAAAGGGTGCAGTTTTTATAGAGTTGAGGCTTTAAACCATCAAAGCACAACGCATCTTCAAATTGTGTCGAGAAATATGATTTCAATACTGAAAATCTTTGTGATAGCCTTAAAATATACTTTTATCTTTAATTATAAATTTTAAAGCTTTAAAATAGTGTGGATCAGGTAGATCTATGAAAACTTGAAAATCTTGAAAATTGACGGTCCAAAAATGCGTTACAAGATGCACTATTTCCAAAATTTGAAATCCATTTTTTTCTCATGTCCATGCATCTTGATGTGAAGATGACCAATTTGAGGATATTTGGGCATCAAAACAACCTCTTCTAGTGAAAGTTTTCAGGTGGGCTCTAATTTGATTGTTTAGAGCCACGGCTCCATGTAAATTTTTTCATTTTTTAATTAAAAACGGGGTTTGTTAAATACACATTTGGGTTCCAGTTCTATGTTTCAAAAGGATGTTTCCAGATAGAGAAAGGCTTTCAAGTTCTCTCTTTGGGTGCTCTGAATTTAAGGGATTTTACAAGAGCATCTCTTGCCCTTCTTTTTGCGATCGAAGAATCCATGGCACTTCGATCAGCTTCATGCCTTGCAGTCATTGCAAATCTATTCATAGAGAGAGAGGAAATTTGAGCAGCTGCCACAATAGCCTTTGCAGTTGAGAGATTCATGACTGGTATAGAATTAGGGGTTATAGAACACAAGTTCCTATCGATTCCCCACCTTCCCTTTCTTATTAGAATCACCATTATTTGTGAAAGGAAAGTTAAGGTTTGTGCAATGAGCGCAGGCATAAGCAGGCAAACATTAGGAGAAACAAAGGTCGAATGTGAAACTGAGACACACTTTGAGCACTTAATGGCGCCTCCTCAGTGTAAACCACTAGGGAAAAACAATTCTAAGTGGGATTTCAGCAAGCAAGAAGTGGCAAAAGGTATGTTTGGGCTCGGCAAGATTTGGGATGCTGATTTTTTGCTTGGGCATGCTGATTTTTTCCGACCTTTTCAAAAAGTCGCAGTTTTAAACAGTTCCAATAATGTCGCCGATTTTTTAAAAAAATCAAGCTCAACCAAGTACGTGCACGCAGAAATGCACGCACGCACAAGTTTAAGCCCGACCAAATGCGTGCACGCACAACTTCAAGCACGCACAAGATTGAGTATGCCTAAGCCGTCGGCACTCATGGTGTAGGTCTGCTGAAGCACCTCATCTAGCATGGTGTGGCCCCACTAAGACCCTTATGTCGCGTACGCGAGCAAGGTGCCTATAGTCGGGTGCGTGCAAGTGCACATGGTGTGCAAGTGTGCATAAGCCCGTCCAAGCATGACCAAGATGCACTAAGGTTCAATGTGCATACGCATCAAGCAAACATTGCCCAAAAGCACAGGGTGCATGAGCACATACATGCCTACACGAATTCAGCTAGCACCACCGAGAGGCTCACGGTGCATGCACATGAGCAAGA